ATATACTACGCTTAAATTATTAGTATATAGTACGATTTTGTTTGAGCCCTTTACGAACCTCTTTCAATAAAAAATTCCTTAAAATAATAGAATACAAAGCGCACACTCCCAATGCCTTGAGTTATTCTTTACCGGTGAAAACACAATATAATTTATTTATAGAATAAGGGTGACCAACAAGCACAGTCCATTTGACGGTAAGTGGCTCATAGACATCTACATTTATACTCGATTGAGAATCAAAACGAAGATGCGTTGTCACCCTTGAAGACTAAAATGGAATGCCCCGTTTCTAGTAAAAGAGGGTCTCCCAATCTTTACACTCACCATACAAAACGCAGAACACGCTGGTATTCGCTTGGTGCTTCCCCGGTAAAGCCAACCGATTCGTGTTACAAGCATAATATAGCTGCAGCGTGGCTCTACCACGTATAAATAATATAATATACTTACTTCAATAATGCAATTGACTAACAAAATCGAATCATCTCTAAAGCATAAGTCTAAATTGACTAAAATTACATATAACTAATATTTTTATAGTAGTTTCAGTATTTTTAAGTTGTTTTACTAAATAATCTTGGTTATTATGAAGAAGTAGATTTAGCGGAAAGTAGGGACTTTTTTAAAGAAGTCAGGGTAACAAACGAGCGTAAAGTCTATTCGTTGGTAAATGGATGCTATGGCTGATAAACGTTCACAACTTTAATCGATTAAGAATCCAAATGAAAATTCGTTGCCACCCCTGAAGAACAAGATATGAACCGAATACCTGTGGTCACACTGGCTACTAATGAGTCCATCCAGAACGATGCGGCACGCCGCAGCAGCGGCAGTCACAATACGGTACAGTTTGGCTCGACCACATAAAAACATATTAATCTGAACTGCAATAGGCTAACTCTTGAGGCTCTGGTGACTGCCTCATAGTGGAATTCACCCTGTGACATATAAACCGAATGATTTGATTTAATAAAGAATGAAACTGGCAATAACTTCCAAAGTAAATATTCAGGTCCATACAAAGTAATAAGAGATTGTTCACCCAATGTCGAAATTGTTAGAGAAAATAAGTATTATATCGTGTACAAGAATAGAACAAAAATGAATTTTAAACCAATTATTTAACTATTTATTATAGGTTTTGTATTACCTACTTGTCTACAACATGGTAGAACATTATATAATCATATATCTATAAAACAGACTAATAAAAATATAATATAATAATTATATAAGCTAAAATAAAATAAATTGTTTATACACCATAGACTGGTGACGGGGACATCATTAACTCGTAAGCTCAACTTGATGAGTATGGGAAACTCTTTAAAAAGACCTTTATTCAGCGCTGGGCTAAGGCTAAAAATGAAGAAACTAGTACGAAATAAGTAAGTAAGGATTAAGAAGGATTACACTGAAAAATTGAGTAAATTTAAAAAAAGGCTTGAGTAAATTTAAATTTAAAAAGGTACTTAATATCGTTCACTTTGGTAAAAACTCTACGTGTTTAATACCTTTCCTTGATTATTTCACTTTTATTTATTATTACAACCTGACCTTTTCTTTATAATTTTTATTTACAAAAATACAATTTCCTGAAACAAAGAAGTTTTGGGTTGAATAATAAATAATTAAAAAGCGATAGTTATCATTCACAGTGTTTCATAAATTATAAAATATAGAAGGTTTTAAATATAGAAGTAGGTGCCATAAAATGAACCTAGTAGTATAAAATGTATACCTACACCTACGCGACATTGTAGGCAGAACGGACACAACCCCGCCCTTTGAAAGCCAAGCCTTTATCTATGTGCCACTGGATTACACGTAATAACTGATTGGACAGTGATGCTTTTCACGACAACACTGTTAAACACGAAAGCCGCATTTACCCTGTTATTATTACTTGTTCGATAGTGTTATAGAAAAAATCTATCGACTTTACCGGCATGAATCAGACAAGCACTAAATATTTTTTAAAGAACTGAAGAACTAAATTATAAGTTGCTCTATTAATATTTTAGCTCATAATATCGTCTAAAATCATCAAAAATATTCTAGGCAAATAAAACAGAATGATTGAAACTTATCTGTTATAAACGCGACCCTGCTTATGTTTTCCGTAACGAGACATAAGCGTAGCTAATGTAGTCGTAGAGGCCAACGTAGGTCTACGAAGCGTAGAGCTTTGCTACATAGCACGTATGAACAGTTATTTAAGCATGTAATAAAAGTATAAAAATAGTGCTGGTGTAAAACGTAACGCATTAAATTATACATAGGTAGTAGTATGCAAGGTAATATGCTTAATGCCCTTTGTTTAAATGTTAGTGCTATTTGATGTAAATTAAAATTAACATCAAATAGCACTACCTTTCGAGGCAATCAAGATTAACATGACACTACGAAAAGCCAGTGGTTATATATTCTTTGATGACTGCTATTATTTGTATAGATTTATGTTTAAATTTTATGTAGAGGAATAATTTAATTAATCGTTACATTAAATCCCGTGGTTATCGTTAAAGTCGACTACGAGATTTATTGGTTTCCATAGATTCCATAATATTATCTTCTTAAATATGTTAGATCTAAATTATTTCAGATTGACAATAAAGAGCAAAAACTACGGTGCGAACATTTGATGCTGTGCTCATCAACTCCCATGCCAAAGATGATGATTACGACAAATTTTTCCTCTATATACTTGGCTTGGGAGAAACCAAATCTTAGTTGTGTAAATATCTACGCCTCATATTGTTATCTGTTACTATAATAACATAGCATGATATCAACATTGAAAATTGACAACAACAAAAAAGAGGAGGTCCAAAAAAAGCCAAAAAAGAGCCGTGGTAGCTCAGATGGTTACGCTCGCTGTAAATATAAAAGAACGCGAGTAACCCGGGTTCAATTCCCGCCGGCACCAATGAATTTGTTAAATGCAATTTTAAAAGCTGATTTACCACGTGCTCGGCGGTGAAGGAAAAAATCGTGAGGAAATCTGCATGTCTGAGGAATAAGAAAAAAATATTTCGAAGACATGTGAAGTTCGCCAACACGCATTGGGGCAGCGCGGCGGACACTTCCTTGCCCTAAAACCCTCTCAGAAATGAGGGAGGCCTGTGCCCAGCAGTGGGGCGGTATATAGGCTGTAACTTTAACTAATATAACCAACAAAAAAAGAAGAAATTCTATATTCGACGCTGTTTATGTATGTTTACCGATTTCTCGGAAACCTCTGAACCGTTTTGAATGAACCTCTACTCTCCTACTTCCTCCTACTTCAAAAATATGAAGTTTCATATAAGTTTGAAGAAAAAATTCTACCTCATATATCTTCATACTTGTATATAAAACTTATGTATTACATTGTTTGTCCGCGATAAACTTCTAAACTACTGAACTGATTTCCATAAAAATTTTGCATACTATGTGCAGTTTGGTTCAAGTTGAGGGGTTTTTATCCCGATAAGTGAACCTCAATTTTTCGTTTGTCACCCTTATTCTATTAAAAAAAGATTTATAATAATTACAAGTCATAGACTGATTTCAATATCAAGATTTAAATCCATTATTGTTATTAAATATTGAAATATTTCGTATGTACGTTACGTAATTTTATATGAGTATATTACAAAACAATTTTTATAATAATTTGTTCTATAAGCAAAACGAAATAGAAATTGATTTTTTTTAGGAAAACTGTCTCTAGAACATTGGTAAACAACTTATTTAAAAATAAGCGAGTGCCTATTAAATTGGAAAAAGTTTAAACAGAAAAAATTTGAAGACGATATTATTTTCGCTTTTCCAACGCAATGATTTGAATTGTACTGAAATCAGAAAATTTGAACTTGTATTAAGTTGAGTATTGAGGGTTTAAGGCGGTAGACATATATTCCATATTCAAAAAATTAAGGTTTTACAAATTTTATAGTTTGTCTGATAATAAAGTGAGTGTAGAGATCCGGAGACCCTTTTTTACTGGTTACGAGGCATTCCGTCTTAGTCCTCAGGGGTGACAACGCACCTGCATTTTGATTCTTAATCGAGGATAAAAATGTGGATGTCTATGGGCCACAGCATCCACTTACCATCAGGTGGACTGTGTGCTCGATTGTCATGCCTTATTCTATATAAAAAAAGATTAATAATAATTACAAGTCATAGACTGATTTCAATATCAAGATTTAAATCCATTATTATTACATATTGAAATATTTCAACGTAATTTTATATGAGTTTACTACAAAACAATGTTTATAATAATTTGTTCTACAAACAAAACGAAATAGAAACTGTTTTTCTTACGAAAACTGACTCTAGAACATTGGTAAACAACTTACTTAAAAATAAGCGAGTGCATATTAAATTGGAAAAAGTTTAAACGGAAAGAATTTGAAGACGATATTATTTTCGCACCTATTAAAACAAAGTGTTGGATTTAATTTTTTTATTAGAAGTTTAATTCTAGAACAATATAATATTACCTATTATTATGGAAAATGAAACTGAAATTTGTGTATTTTTAACTATTTCAAATATTTTAAAAACAACGAAATAAAGGCCTTTGGCCATGATTATCTTAGTCGTTGGAAGAATTATGCATAATATTCTACATACGTTGGTTTAATTTGCATTTAGTTATTTAGTTTACTTTTTACGTGACTAAGTACATTTGTATTAAACATAAGTACTGTAAACCTAAGATTTTTTCCTGATAAATGCGAAACTTTTATGAAATAAAGAACAATTAATGTCGTGTGAAGGTTAAATTTTCAATGCTATCAAACTGTTAATTTTGAATGTATTAGATATAAAAGCGTTATAATAACAAATACTTAAGTTACTTTAAGTCAAGTCATAGTCATATTTACAAGTTTAATAACAAATTCAGTTAAAAGTAATTTGTAAAAAGTATTTATATTAAATTTTAAAATAATGAAATGCTGGTTGAAATTTTTAAAAAGTAAAATATATGGGCAGCTACTTACCAGGTGGGTTGCGCGCGGCTTGCGGCATGTCGGCGGCGGGAAGTGTGAGCCGAGTGCGCGTCGTGCGGTAGTGTGCGAGCGTTCGGCCAGCCGCGTCCTGCGCGCCGCGCCCCGCGCCCGCCCTCTCTAACAGTGCCGCCACCGCCGCCTCGTCGCGGCACGCTGCCGTGTAGTGCAGTGCTGTCCGGCCATCCTGCAATGTCTGCTTTGTTAGCTTAGCCATGCAAATATAATCAAAGCAAGCTAATAGCAAAAGCCATCAAATTTCCTAAAACCTAAAAGTTATCACGATAATAATAATTATATATAATAATAATAATTATTAAAATATCTGGACCTGGCTCACGAGGTGACCGACATGTGGGGTGGTCTGCCGAGCGAAATTATTCCTGTAGTCGTCTCCGCAAACGGCCTAATCCCAGTCAGCCTCTCGTGTCATCTGAGGCGGCTGGGACTGCATGGCGGACCGCTCCAGGCTCAAATGCAGAAGGCGGTGTTCCTCAATACCGTCCGCATCGTCCGCCGGTTTCTTTCCCTTTCCCCCTAACCCTCGGCCGTTTGGTCTCCCCTGCCGAGGGCCTCCATCTGGTTGGGCTTTTATTTATTTATGTATTTTTATATTTATTTAATTTTATTGATACTTATGCATATTTATCTTTTAATTTCCATTTATAATTATATATTTATAGAACCCAACTAGATGCGATAACTATATTGATACCCCCCCTCCAATAATAATTATTAATAATTATATGGATGACCTCAAGTTATTCGCCTCCAGTCGCTCCCATCTTATGAAATTGCTAAACATCACTTGTGAATTTAGCAATTCCATTGGAATGGAGCTGGGGACGGACAAGTGTGCGATCCTCCATGTTGAAAGGGGAAGGGTTGCTAACTCTGAGGACATAGATTTATCTATGCCCGTCAACTTAAGGATCCTTTCCGAGGCTGAAACATACCGATACCTGGGTATGTCACAAAATATCGGCAACGACGAGGCTTGTATGAAACAGTCAGTTTGCGACGTGTTTTGTGCACGCTTGACCAAAGTGCTTAATAGCCTTTTGTCCGGTGTGAATAAGACACACGCATATAACGGTTGGGTCATGCCTGTCCTCATGTATATCTTTGGCATACTTAGATGGACTCAGACTGAACTTAACGCCCTGGATATAAAAGTCCGCACAACCATGACGTCCCATAGGATGCATCATCCGAGATCGTCGGTAATGAGGCTGTACTTGCTGCGAAAGCATGGTGGGCGTGACTTTCTGAGCGCGCTCACCATGCATAATCGTGAAGTGTGCAGCCTCCGTCATTACTTCCTGGTGAGATCGGATGATCCATTCTATAATGACGTCATTTCTAGTGATAAAGGGCTTACCCCTCTATCCTTAGAAACCTTAACCAACGCCTTAGCCAAGGAGCAATGGCAGGACCCAGCAGTGCTTAGCATTTCCGACCAGGAGGCCATATGGAAGGAGAAGGAGCTCTACATGAGCACTTCGTAGATACAGTCGCCTCCCTCAACTGGCTACGTTTCGGTGACCTCTTCGAGGAAACCGAGGGTTTTGTCTGTGCAATACAGGATCAGGTTATTAAGACCAACAACTATCGGAGATACAACCTAAAGGATGGCACCGTCGACGTCTGTCGAGCTTTTCGCCATCCCGGTGAGTCGCTTAGGCATGTCATCTCCGGTTGTTCGGCGCTTTCTAACTCTGAGTACTTGCACAGGCACAACCTAGTAGCCAGAATTCTACACCAGGAGCTCTCTCTGAAATACGGTCTCGTGGACCGGAAAGTGCCGTATTACAAGTACTTGCCGGAAGCTGTGCTCAAAAATGACCGCGCCAGGCTCTACTGGGACCGGGCCATCATCACAGACAGGACTATTCTTGCGAATAAGCCTGATATTGTGCTGATGGACCGGGCACAGTCAAGGATATTTTTGGTCGACATTACCATTCCGTATGACGAGAACCTCGTGAAAGCCGAAACAGATAAGCGAACAGACAAGCGAAAATATCTGGACCTGGCTCACGAGGTAACTGACTTGTGGGGTGGTCTGCCGGCCGAAATTATTCCTGTAGTCGTCTCTGCGAATGGGCTAATCCCAGTCAGCTTCTCGAGTCATCTGAGGCGACTGGGATTCCGTGACGGACCGCTCCGGGCTCAAATGCAGTGCTCCTCGATACTGCCCGCATCGTCCGCCGGTTTCTTTCCCTTTCCTCCTAACCCTCGGCCGTCTGATCTCCCCTGCCGAGGCCTTCCATCTGGTTGGATTTTTATTTATTTATGTATTTTTTGTATTTTGTTCTTATTTTATTGATATTTATATATATTTATCTTTTCATTTTTATTTATAATTATATTATATTTATAGAACCCAACCAGATGAGAAAACTATATATATATATATATATATATACATATATATATATGTATATATATATATATATATATATATATATACCCCATAATAATGATACCCCGGAATATTGTTATAATTATTATACCTTTTATATATTTATTCAGCCCAACCAGATGATAATACTTTATAAACACCGTAATAATAATAATAAACTTTATTGGCATATGGATTTAACAAATGTAAGCAAAAACAGTAAGCTAAACAATGTTCAAGATAAGGTATACAAATATTTTCCGTTGGACCCCAAACTAGGATAATACTGTACCTTGGGGTCCGAGAGCGCAAGTTAATTAGAGAATCGTACACAGTCTAACAAAAGAAAAGACATATTTTTATATTGAAAGTGTCATAGTGTAGTATAATATTATTTGAAAGTGTGTGTGTGTGTGTTGTGTGTGTGTGAGTGTGTGTGTGTGTGTGTGTGTGTGTGTGTGTGTGTGTGTGTGTGTGTGTGTGTGTGTGTGTGTGTGTGTGTGTGTGTGTGTGCGCGTGTGTGTATTCTGCTAGTGGCGTTTGACTATATCCTCAGTTTCCTCACATGTTAACGTCATTAGCCATTTTATAACAAGTTGACAGACCTGTGAGGTCTTGAGGTTTCTGATGTTATTGTATCGAGATATTTTATTAGTGGATGAAGAAAACGTGGTAGGTGACAAGCAAAAACGTTTTAATATTAGGGACGGGTATTTTGTATACCCTTTGATTTAAAAGCTGTAGGTAGTTAGGCAGGTTTGAAACGTTTTATGACATCTCTTTATACGATAATTAGACACTGACCAATTTTGTTTTAAAAGTGTTATTTTAAACAAACAACGCTGCATCTTCTGCATATAAATGATATGTTGTAAACTGGCTTCGATCAACAATACCAACTAGATGTCGGGTCGGCGCAAGAAATCCATCTAAGTAAATAAAAGCGCACATGAGACGTGAGCTCTTATTTCGTTTAGTTCACTTGAAACACAGCCAATGTAAACACGTTTCACAATGCCCCAATGTGTTTAAAAGTTGCAATAATAATGCCCGAAAAGGTAATTTAACGGCAGGAGTGTCTTACTTTCGGTAATTACATGTATGATATGTTATATTTTAAGCTTTAAACTAACAAATAATATCATATTTGAAACAAAATTACCGATCATAACCACTCTCCTAATGTTGACCAATACACGCGCAAAAATTTGTGAAACAGAACATGGACGCATGAAGTAGATTTGTATTGTAATAATTTTTAATAATTCGTTACCAAAACTTTGATCTCAGACTGGTATTTGAAAAGGACGAAGAGAGAACGAAATGTGAAATATGGGTAAATCAGGAATGTCTAGAACAGGTAAATGAAATTGTATACTTGGGGAGTGCTTTCAGCCGGGATGGAAGATGTGATTTAGATGTGGATAGGCGTGTCGCTGCCGGAAACAAAGTCAATGGTGCCCTGAATGCATTAGTAAAAAGGCAAGGCATGGTGAAGAGTGCACGCCTTGCAATACATAATGCAGTGTTGGTACAGACTTTGTTATATGGCAGCGAAACCTGGGTATGCCAGAAGAAGCATAAAAGCAAGTTGAATGCAGTGGAGATGCGATCTCTTCGTAAAATGTGTGGCGTTACCTTAGCCGACCGAAAGCGAAACGAAGAGATTCACAATATGGCAGGATTGAAAGATGACCTTATCACAAAAATTGATAGGGGCGTACTCCAATGGTTTGGGCACGTTGAACGAATGAGTGAAGACCGAATGGTGAAGAAAATATATAGAGCGAAAGTAAATATTAAAAGGTGTCGAGGTAGACCGAGACTAACTTTCGAAGACCATGTGAGCAAATTGCTCGAAGAGGGGAGGGTCGAGAGTACTCGGATACCCAGACGTGCATGTATGAAGAAGTTAATGAACCTGAAAGAAGCGAAAGAGGTATGTAAGGATCGTGATACTTGGCGATCTGTTCTCTCTGGCTACCCCGTTAGGGATTGTGCGTGAAGATAAGTAAGTAATTAAGTAATCGTTACCAAAACTTTAAATGATGGTAATTGCTACTTTTGTCTTTGTTTGTGTAATTCCAATAGATACTTAGATTTTTTTTAGCTTTCCTAGCTTTCTTCCCCGGTCGACCTGACCCATTAGTGCTACAACTATACTACTAATATAATTGCAGCATGGCTCTACCACGTTTTAAAAGTATGCAATGGGCGACCTTATTGCGGACAGCAATTTCTCCCAGACAACCAATAAATGTACAAGATTACATGAAGATGATAGGAGTAGGACAAATTGGTGTGACAAAAAAGAATACACATATTTATATATATACTATACATAGATACATACATACTACGAACATATATACATACAAAAACTAAAATAGATATATAATGAATTAGTTAATAAAATGCAATCAATATACTACATACTATATTATCTTTAATGGCTCGTGTGGAAAGTATGTATACCAACAATCATAAATGCCCAAAACATAAAAATAATTTTAATTAAACTTATGATCATATTATAAATTATTTTAGTGTTCAACGTGACTCAATAGTTCCTGGACCAAATTCGAAGAAAAAAACAGAAACATAACAAAATGACGTAGCTCGCAAGGCATAAACGAGGAAAAGAACTTTATTTGTTACACGTTAAGATTGATTTCACACCAAAGGTTATTATTTAATTACCTTTGTATAGGAGTATTGTATAGCTTTTTTTTGACTAATGATCGTAAGATTTGTGACTTTGTTACTAGATACGATGGTTGTAATTAGATTGAACTTATAACAATTTAAATTTT